TTTGCTTTCTCTTCGCCTTTAAAAATAAGTAAATTTTTAGTCCAACAAAGAAAATCGGGCCTTTTAGTGCCAATCGTTGTTGTTCCTGAATCTGCCTTGTCCCGATCAATTTCAATGGGTAGAACGTTACCAAGAAATCTACAAAAAGTCTCAAGCGGAACTCTAATCATAGAATCCAGGGGATAGTGCAGCATACTTTCCGATTTATTGCCTGAAAATTCCCTATCAATTGAACTGGCTAATGCGCTGCTGATATTCTTTGCTATAGTACTTCGACGTTCTTCTTCCCTTGTACATACATAATCACTTAGCTCAGGATACATTATTTCTTCGTCAGAGGTTACGGTTAATTTTCGAAGCAGCGGTACATTAATAAGGGATTGAAGATCGTTCACTTGAGTTGGGATTGTTTCGAATTTTTGTAAGAGACCATTACAGATCAAATAACTATTATCGACTAGATCTGCTTGATCATAAGCCCGCTTCGTAGCTATTTAGAAAAAAATTATAAGGGTTAGAAGCAAAGTTACTGTATATTTGAACGTTCTCCTGAAAATTCATAACATGAGAAAACATATTGCCCTATGTACACACTACTCTATGTCCCAACGCCCGAGTCACAAAGTCGTTACCTGGTTGAGTATATGCCACCAGTTTCGCCAGTAGCATATCTACCTGGCCATTACATTGCTTTTTCTCCGCCTCCAGACTCTCTTCTTTCCTCTCCAAGTTCGCCTGCTCGCCATTCCACCTAGGCTGTGCCGTTCCACTCCTCAGTTCCTCCAGTCTATCCAACCTCTCTTTAACAATATAAAACCTTTTCTTCGCGTCTTCTAACTCTTGTTCAACTCGTTCGAGAGTCGCCATCTTTTTTTTGATAGTAAGTTTGAAGGGAAGAATTGACGCGCGATGTGATCTAATATACCAACACCGATCAGTGGCTTAATCAATGACGTATTATTACGAACTTTCTCGATCTTTACATTATAATTGAGGCGCAGAAATTGCGTTTGTACAGTATTAACATGACGAATAAACGAGTAGTTTAATCTATCTTAAAAGTTCATTTACTTGAACAGAGATCAATCTCCATCAATGAACGTTATACTCGTTATTTGTAGTCTATATCATTGCATAGAATCATTGTTTAATTTCAAATATTCTTGTTAATTGCGTGCTTTAAGGATTTGAGAAATCCTTATCGAACTCAAATAAAAATAAAGATATCTTATTATAATAAATAATCATTAGTAATATCCTGTAGGTATTATAGTTATTCGAGGTACGTCATAATAAGATAATAATTAAGATACCGTGATAAAATAAAGAGATTTTTTTTCACTATTGAATGCTGAAATATTTTATTTCATTTTTCTTCGGTATGTGAGTAAATAAAGTAGACTTTTTTTAATGCAATATTATATTATTTTACTTATAATATTTTATATAAGTCATCACATTAAATAAATTAAAACCCTTTCCCAATATGGAGGAAGGCAAGAAGGCTCGGATTAGGAGAATTGAGTATATTTTTTCTTAACCGTTCTCTTTGAAATGTTTTGCACTATTACTTACGTACAGTCAACCCTCTCTAAATGCACACACTATATATTTTCTCTCTAAATGCATGCTCTCGTTCAGTCCCAAGCATATAGGATTCATATAGAAACTTTCTCTTTAAATGCACACCCTCTTTAAGTGCACATTTTTTAAAAATTTCACTATGGTCCCAAGTGGATGCATTTAGAGAGGGTTGACTGTAGTTGAAAATTTCATCAAAGACGCGTTTTATATTTATTTACACAAGAACACGTGAGAACGCGTACGCCTTTCTTAAAAGAACAAATTTAAAAACCTAAACCCTGGTACATTTTGACACACTTAATCTCTCATTTCAATCAAGTTTAATAAATTTTTCTTTCTGAATATATCAACAATTTCTGTTAAGCGTAAAAGAAACGTCTGCGGCAGACTTGTTCTGTTGGAAGCTAGTGATGGCGAGTCATTAGAAGTAAATGGCCGGCTTATGAGTGAGAATAGCTCACTCATTAATTGTTTAATTAGCTTTTATTCAATAAGATACTAATAGATTTCTTTTTATTCGATTTCTCCGTAAATTGTACATGAAAAACGTGAGACTTATGATACCATCTTACCGCAAGACACTTTCACATGATGAGAAGCGGACTGAGGTTATCTTTGATACACCTCCGGAGATAATTTTCTACGATATAATTTTCTAACTCATGAGTTTGGAAAATTTTCAATTTTATCTAAGTTCTGCAAGAGAACTTTCCTAAGATTAGAAACTGCAAAAAAAAAATAATACAAGGCAAAATTACTGATTCACAATTAATTGTTACAACATTCCACTTCAACTCATATTTAAAAAAGTTATTGCTTAACGCGTAATTAAAGATTTTTCCTTTTTTTTTGTCGTAAGAAATTCACGAATCTCACGAAGGCATTTAAAGAAAGTAGTACTTGCTTGGACTCTGGCTAGCCAATATACTTTTATTATTTATTAGACGGCATTAGACGGTGGTGAAAAAAAGATCTTAATTGGAGATGATCTTTATGAGGAGTTTTCTACCGAGTTTGGTTAAAGCCTGGTAACTATGCTCTTGGAGTGGATGCCCTCCATCAAAATGAATTATTATTACATCAATCTACTGTAATTTTGTTAGAACTACCATTCGAACAAAGACGCAATGAGAAAGTTAGGAGGTTAAGCAGCAATATCAACACACATGTAGAGGCATCTACACCTCAACAATTTCTAGACCTGAAAGGTGAACGATCAAGTTCCTTTCCAGAGAGACCTGAGCGATCAGTTACCTCTGGTAACTCACCTGAGGGATCATCAGTTGTTGTACAGTCCGAGGATTCGTTTGAGGTGTCAAGACCTGTAACACCTTCTGTAGAAACACCTGCGTTTACTTCCCTCCTTTTCACAAAGTGCGAATGTTATAAATGTCACTATTAATAATAATTACGCTGGTGCTTCGGATGAGGTGTTAATTGTGTCATAACTTGTGAAACGCATCATATTTTATTAACATGAAAATCTTGATAAACAGTTTTATAACTCGTTTCTGCTGATAAGAATATATAGTAATCAGCATAATTTTTTAATCAATTGTTATTTTGTTTTCCATCGGGACACTCTTTTTACATTACGATGAAACGCGGTATATTGCTTTCAGCTGGGCCATTAAAATAAAATGTTGTTATTACTCGGCTTGAAACGCCTCACATAATTCGGCAAACTTTCTCTTTTTGAGCAACCATAATTGCAACCTATCTTTAAACTATTCCCTATATATTAATTTTATCACTACATGGCATTATCTGACAATTGAGTTGATAAAGTATTTTATTGTAATTAAGTTGAGTTTAGAATCAATCGAAAACTTACAATTTTTCACGACAAAAATTTGTTCTGGCATATTCCAAGTTTGCTAGGTTTTTGGTCATTTGTTGGGTATAGTGTACAATAGAAAAGTAGATATGTTGAACATGCTTAATTGTATTATTAACGTTGCAATTATATTAATTATAAAGAAGAAATTCATTCAAATTAACTACTACTATCCGAACTTGCGCGAAATTAAAAATTTTTTATTTTTATATACAAAAAATGGTTGGATAAAAGTATTGATTTTACTATAGCATAGTAGTGCATTTTTAAATGAAAACCATTTTAGAATCACTTTCAGAATTATCTCTTCACAAGACCCAGCTTAAGATTCACCTTGATCGGTTCAATCCAAGGCTGAGTCAAAATAAACTCACCTCGACGACATAATAAATACCTTAATTTAATGTCAAAATGCGACGTTATACTAAAACTTAATGCGATTACTTTCACAAAATTTTTATTGTAAAATCTAAATACAACTTTTAAATAATGACTTGCTTTCGATCAAAAACAATTATGATTTATTTCCATTAGGATTCTATTTCATAGGACTACTAGCACATTCACGTTCAAAGGGTACAAATTTCAAGGCTTCCCCATCATATCTATAAATAAATAGTTTTAATACAAGCACGACTGATAATAATATTATATAAGACGACATACCTATAATCAAAGAATAATTCCGAACCAGGTTCAAGATCACACAAAGCATATATTCCAATACGATGTTCCCCTTTAACCAAAGTGACTAATATTTCGAGATATTAGTATAATCGTATATCAAAAAGATTTACATGGAATTGGCGAAAATTTTAAATAAGACATACCACGACAATATGCATTTGGATCTTGTGAATGATTAATGAATCTAAACTTATTTCCTTTACGAGTCGCGTCTACAACAAAATCTATAAAATCATTTTGAAAATGTTATGATAATTATGTACAGGCAAGAGCTAATCTATTAAATAAATTAACTATATTTGGAAGTGATTAGATGGCAAAAACTTATAAAAAAAAAATAAGAATACCTTTATTTAAATTGAATAAAAAACTGGTGCCTCGTTTATCATAAATTTTACCACGACGATCAGCTTCGGCCTGTGATATAACCTAAAAAGAAATTTTTTATTTTTTTTATGTAAATCCAATAATAATAATGAAAGCAGATTTTGTACTTACTTCTCCAATATATTCTCCCAAGTATTCATTTTTCTTGACAAGTTCTCTCACGAAAAGTCCCCATCCTGCCACCGTAGATACGCCGACAATGGTATGCTTTATATGGGTACAAAATAATGATAATTAGCCAAATACTAAAAATAAGAATAATCATTAACTTAGACTGACCTTAGCTTGCCTTCTTTGTATTGCAACATTTTTACATAGAGATCTCCCCATATCATTCTCAGAAACCGAATGATTTGTGTTGCATTCTAAAAATCATCAAACAAAACTTATTAATAAAAGTTATACGATAAAAAAGAAAAAAAGTCAATATAATACCTGAAGCAGTACATCCACATAAATCTGGATCGCACTCTCGATAATTAGTAAAACATATGCAACCACGATTACTACATGTTTTTCCAAATCCATAACAGTTACAACCAGGAAATCGTCTTGGACCTTTATCATATTATGATAAATTAGCAACTTAATTGAAAAAAATAATATAATAACAAAACTTACAATCGAGATCACAGTGACAATATTTTTCACATGGAACATTGCCTTTCTTGCAAGGGCAATTGAAATCACATGGACGGCCAGGATGATCACAAGGGTGATACTCCGAATGATTTTCCGCATCAATTTCTAACATTAAAAAATTTGAGAAATGTTATTTTTTTAAAATTCTTAAAGGTCAACATAATAATCACGCACCAATTTTAGTCAAAATTTTTCTATTCTTCTTTCTAGCCTCATCTGAAGATGATCCAACCTCAACCTCTTGTTCTTTTTCAACTTCACCAAGTTCTCGAGATCGTCGATAGACCTATATAATCAAAAGACAATGGATTAATTAAACAATATAGAATTATCTTAAGGGACCACTAACCTGTTTACAATTTTTACTTGGAATAATCTCAGCTATTTGACAATAATTCTTGCTTCCCATAAGCAATGCAGCCTTATTAAATAAGGCGATTTCGACATCATTCCATTTATCATACGGAGAACGTGCCTCTCTTTTAAGATGCATATAACAATCAGCTCCACAAGGTTTATTTCTATCATTCGGTGTTCGAAGACGTTTTTTATTTTCCGATGGTCTAAAATCGGTACCTTAAAAGAAATATTACTTAACACGCATTTTTGTTTTAAAAAGACTACACTTAAAAGGTATACGAACCATGGAGTTTGCAGTCATACACATAACATCGTCGACACCACAAACTAGAATATGAATGCATAATTGAATTTATGCTACCCTCACTACTTCTATTGTGAAGAAAATTACGCATTACTTAAAGTTGATATGAAAAAAGTAGTATAGTAAAAATATATATTACGAGTCTATGTCCATATCACTTGAGTCGTCTGGAATACTTGTTGATTCGGTTGTAAATAATGGAGATTCAAATTTACGAGCATATTCCAAATACCTAACAAAATGAAAAGTTAAAATAAAATATCAATCGAAGTTAATGAATTTTAAGTTACTTACTTGTATAATAACTTCTTGATTTCTTTCCCTTTTAAAATTTTAGCAAGAGCATTAACGACCACTTCTACAATTTCAACATCGTGGTCATCAACCTCAATTGCACGGTTAGCTGTCACAGGTGATCGACCCATCCTAGATGATGTAGTGACACCTTTGCTTTGTTTAGGATCAATCTTGAAAAGTGATTTCTCAACAAGTCCGATTGAAATATTATTCTGATTAAAGATACGATGTAAAGTTCTCACAGCTATCTGCTCTCCTATTATATTTAAAGTAATGAGAGAAATTTGATCCATAACATTTGATATTATAATACATTTTAAATTATTAACCTTCTGGATCTATGGCATTTTTTCCAACGATACTTTCTTCATATACATCAGAATAATCCATATCTCCATCATCTTCACTATCTTCGCCAAAATAATAAAGATGTCTTAATACGGGATCATCTTCTGTCTAAAATGAAAAGGAGACAGCTTATATATAACTAATAATTAAGGGAACAAATTATAAATAATGAAATTACCTTGGAGCTCCTTATTATTGGAGTCCAGAGAGCATATCTTGGAATTTGATTTTGTACAGGAATGTTAGCCGCCTTGCGTTTTTCATAACGTTTTTTACGGTGACTTGCTGATAAGGAATCCTAATTTATTCATAAAATTGAGAAAAAATTATTTATCACTAAATATTATCAATATCTTTAATTTTTATATTTATATATATATTACTTGAATATTTAAATCAATTTTAGCAGGTTTTTTTTCCTTTGGAGATTTGGAAGGACTTGGACCACCAGCATTTTTTCCTTTTGGAACATATAAGCTATCAATTTCAGGATATGGTTCACCATGAAATTTTGGTATTTTTACTTTAAAATGTCTTTCATTTTCTTGAAGTAATTGCTTTATTTTTTCACTACTTTCATGCACAGCGGCCTTAATACAAAAAAAAATTGAAATTTCATTTAATACCTTCTAAAACAATGGGAAAAAAAACTTTATTATTAGATATGAAAATCACCTTGCTTTCTGACAGCTTTGAATCATAAAAGTCTTCACGTGTTTTTTGATATTCCTGTTGAACCTCTTCTCTCAAAACTGATAAAGGTTTTACGTGACGTTTACTCATTTTATTTAAAAAAGGTAGTTACAAAAAAAATGTTTTTGTTGATCGATCATATATATATATATATATTTTTTTTACTTGAGTTCTAGTGATCGGTCGCCCGTTGATCGATCATCTATTCCGTATAAGTACACAATTATAAAATCACTTTGCGTAACATATCTAAACTAACCCTTTCAAATTTGACATTATCCACAATTTGATAATATTAATTTAGTTAGATTAAAGAAAAGTCCATTTTTTTCTTTGTTCACAAGCACATGATTTAATTTAAAAATACTTCTCTAACCATTAAATAATAAATAAATACAGGCTATCAATGAAAATCTTTATTATTTACTTCATAATCCTTTCAAATTAAAAAATTGTTAATTATTTGCATTTGTTTTGCATATTCAGTCTTACAACATTCTATTAGGTCTTAAATATAACTAATCTTACAAATTAGCTAAATATTTTAGTTTTATATTTTATAATTTCTTTTATTGATGCTGTCAAATAAAATGTCATTATTTGTAAGGGTCTAAACTAATTGCTACTCATAATATTGTCAATCATTTTTGTCTCGTTATTCATTTTGTGTTATGCATCGTGCTGAGTTACATATCATTTAAAATGGTTTATTAAAGAGGTATCAGAATTTATTGATTTTAATCAGGTAATTTCACATATTCAAATATTTTAAAGATGAACTTATGGAAACCTAGCAAGTTATTACCGAGAAATTACCTATAATAAGGCTTAATCACCAATAATATTTTTTAATAGATGTGAGATATTTCAGGTGCTTTATTAAATCATATT